GGCCCACCGCCGGCCTCGACGGCTCCGCCGGAGACCCACACTGCGGGAGACACCCCAGGGCTCGGGCCTCCGCACACCCCTAACCGCCCCTGACCCGTGGCCCACGCAAGGTAACGTGATGGAGAACCGGGTGCGTGGCTTGATAGAGTCTTCGGGATTTGTGAGGCTCATCGTTTTGGTCAATCTTGGCAATACTTGAGAGAAAAATGGCCCTTCTGGTACGAGCCGGAGAGAGCTCCCTTCCGGGAGGTTTCGGTGTTACTTTTTGTTGGGTGTGTGTGCCTGAACTCAGGGCCTGGGCGCTGCTCCTTGGCACTCTGCCACTTGAGCCACAGCTCCACTTCCTGCTTTTTGCTGGTCAATTGGAGATGAGAGTCTCATGGACTTTCCTGTCTGGGCCGGCTTCAAACCCTCTGAGATCCTCAGATCTCAGCCTCCTGAGCGGTTGTTATTATAGATGGCATGAGCCGCTGTCTGCCTCCCCGCCCCCACCTTCTTTGAACTACATGAATGCGTAACAAAAAGCCACATTAGCCAATGCACTGAATTTTGTTTTTGGTTTTGTTTTTTTTTTGGTCGGTCATGGGGCCTGAACTCTGGCCCTGGGCACTGCCCCTCAGCTCTTCAGCTCAAGACGAGCACTTTACTGCTTGAGACACAGCATCACTTCCGGGTTTCTAGTAGTTTATTGGAGATAACAGTCTCATGGAATTTCCTGCCCTTTGAACCATAATCCTCAGATCTCAGCCTCCTGAGTAGCTAGGATTACAGGTATGAGCCACTGACACCCGGCTGAATTTGTTTGTTTTTATCCCAAACTGGAATTAGTACTCAGTTCCTGTGACTGGAACAGGACAGCTCACGGCCTTTTAAAAGTGAAACAAATGTGTGGGCAAACAAAGGGAATTGGAAACTTTTAATCTTCTCAGGGCAGCCAAAGGATCTTAACTTTCACTTCCCCAATGGAATTCAAACAAGGCAGCCCCCCCCCTCTTTTGTAAATTGCACAGTGAATTCTGCTAGGTTCTTACCTAGGGACCCTGACCAGCCCTAGAGATCAATAGTCTGACCTTGCTTCCATCTCTCACTACTGTATCTTCCCAAAGATTTCTGTGTCCTCAATCTGATTTCTTCTGGCCAGGCAATAAAATGAGGTAGGTTATCCCCATTTTAGAGCTGGAGTTTCGGATTTAGAGCTCCTTAGATCTTTACTTCCAACCGTTCCCCTCTCTGCACATATTGGGTCTTGAATTCAGGGCCTGGGTGCTGTGTCTTTAGTTTTTTCACTGAAGGATTACACTCTATTTGAGCTACAGCTCTACTTCTGGCTTCTGCTGGTTAACTGGAGATAAGGGTCATTACCTGTTGCTCTTCCCAGGCTGACTTTGAACTGTGATCCTCAGAGCTCAACCTCCTGAGTAGCTAGGATTACAGTAATGAGCCACTGGTGCCCTGTTGGTTCATTAAATTTTTTACAGGAGTTTCAAGAAGCTAAGAAATGCTTTCTTTCATAGGTGTGCATAATGTTTACAATATCCAGTGATAGAAGCTGATATTTCTTTCTTTTCTTTTTGTCAGTCATGGGGCTTGAACTCTGGGCCTGGGTGCTGTCTCTGAGCTCTTCAGCTCAAGGCAAGCGCTCTACCACTTGAGCTATAGCACCACTTCAGGTTTTCTGGTGGTTTATTGGAGATAAGAGTCTCACGGCGTTTCCTGTCTGGGTGGCATTGACCTGTGATCCTCAGATCTCAGCCTCCTGAGTAACTAGGATCACAGGCATGAGCCACCAGTGCTGGGCAGAAGCTGACAGGTGCTCTGAGGGAGGACGTCGCTAAGTGCTGCGCTCTGATCATCAACTTGTGGATTCCTGATTGACTTGTTTTCCTGTCTTGATTGATTTCTTTCCTGTCCCCTGGGAGAGGCACAAAGAATTTAAATAACTTCTCAGAGGCCACCTCATTGTTCAGAGGCAGAACAAAAAGTTGAATTTAAGGTCTCTCACGAATTTAAGGTCTCTCGATTAACAGGTCTCCAACCCAGTCCCCAGGCCTTCATCTTAGCAGGTGGAAGTATGAGTCACTGTTGGATGAAAGGGATGAGGCAAAGAGCAGGGTTGCTGAGACCATTGTTGATCCATTCTTGTAGAGTTGCACAGCCAGTGTCTATACCAACACAATTCTGCCATCTGGACACCTAGCCCTGAGCTACAGGCATGGTAGGTTAGCTCTGGATCCAGACTGCCTTGTACTTAAATCCTATCCCCTTGAAACTGTTGGACATTGGGGAAGTCAGCCTAACTCTGAACCTTATTTTCCTCTCTGCTCACTGCTAAACTTGGGGTTAATGAACGACAGTACTCAACTCATGGAGTCATGGCAAGAATTCAAGTGTATTCTTAGTCTAGCATTTAGCATATGGATCAATACTAAATAAATAGCTCTTTTTTATTTGTGTGTGTGTGTCTGTGTCTCTGTCTGTCTGTGTCTGTACTGGGGCTTGAACTCAGGACCTAGGTACTGCCCCTTACCTTTTACTCTCAAGAACAGCACTCTACTAATTTAGCAATAGCTCCACTTTTGGCTTTAAACCATACTCAAAGCCTGTGCTGGCTTTGAGTTCAGTCCTCAGATCTCCGTCTCTTGAGTAGCTGGGATTACTAGCCTGAGCTCCTAATGCCCCGTTAGCCCTTGTTCTTACAATAGCTGGAGGAATGTGACTAGAAAAGCACCTGCTAAACAACCCTGAGTTCAAACACTACTACTATGCCCATCCCCCACCCCCCCACCCCCGCAAAAAAAGTTGTTTTTTTGTGTGTGTGTCTGGTCGTGAGACCTGAACTCTGGGCCCACGACTGGACCCCCCCCCCAAAAAAAAAAGAAAGTGGTATAGAGAGGACAGGGAGAAATAGAGCACACAGGGGGACAGCTGCTATGGGACAGGGGTGGCAGGGAAAGCCTTACCGAGCTACTGACATTTCAGCAAAGAGCTAAAGTTAGTGAGGGTGTGAACCAAGTGGACATCTGTGGGGAAAAGTGGGCCAGGGAACACAGCAGGTACAAAGGTCCTGGGGCAGGAACATGGACAGCTGGAGCCTAAACAAGGGGTGGAATAGTAGAAGAGGTCAGCGATCTGGGAGAGGCCAGATCCATGCAGACCCTTACTGCCTAACACTATGAAAAGATCCGACTGCCGGCTCACTCTGTAGGGACCAGAGGTGGAAGCAAGAGGCCACACAGGAGCTCACGTAGTGATGCAGAGGGTTGGTGGAGGGGAAGAAGGTGCTGAGAAGTTGTATTCTAATGAACTTTGAAGACACGCCGTGGGATCTGCTGACAGCTCAAATAGCACCAAGGTTGGTGCCAGGACCACCAGGAAGGAGGTGGTGGCGTTTCCGGAAGCTTGGGAAACGGCATTTGAAGCAGGTTGGCGATGGGGGCGGGGGTGCTAGTCAAATCAGTGTTGACCATATGAAGTCTGCTAGATGCCCAGCTGCAGCTGAGTGCACTTGTCTAGTGTGGAGGGGAGAAGTGCATTCTGGGAGCATGGACTGGCCAAGTGTCTGCTGTTGGCAAAGTTCAAGCACAGCAGTATGGAATATCTCTCTTTTGGATACAATTTTGTTTGTTTTTCTGTCTTAGGGCTTGAACTCGGGACTTGGGCACTTTTGTTCAAGGTCAGTGTTGTACTACTTTGAGCCACAGTGCCACTTCCAGCTTTCTGGTGGTTAATTGGCAATAAGAGTCTTATAGACTTTCCTGCCCGGGCTGGCTTTGAACCACGATCCTCAGATCTCAGCCTCCTGAGTAGCTAGGATTACAGGCGTGAGCCTGTTAGAAGGAATTTTACCAGCATTGATGAGAGTAAAAGCCAGTCAAATGGTCAGGAGGTGGTACGCTTTAATAACTTACTACTTTAGCTTTTAATGTAATGTACTTGATTACAAATTTATACAATTCTGTTTTTTGTTTTTTTGTTTTTGTTTTTGTTTTTTTTTTGGTCTGGGTATTGAGGCTTGAACTCAGGGCACTCATTGTCCCTTAGCTTTTTCTCTCAAGGATAGCACTCTGCCACTTGAGACTCACCTTTACTTCTGGCTTTTTGCTGGCTAATTGGAGCTAAGAGTCTCACTGACTTTTCTACCTGGGCTGGCTTGAAACTGCAGTCTCTCCATTTCAGTTTCCTGAGTGGCCAGGATCACTGGTGTGAGCCAGAGTTATAGAATTTCATTGTTGATCATGACTGTGTGCTTAACAACTGTAAAAAAGAAATCCCACAAATGGGGCGCTTGAGTCCAGTTTGCAGGTGTGAAGTGAGCCTGGCTCATCACTGAGTTTATAGAATCTGGGGCATGGAGAGGTGATGGGAGCGAGGGGTCTCTGTTCAAGATGAACCCCAGATCTGGAAGCATTTGTCCCCAGTCTGGTAGAGTGAAATTGATTGACACTGGGGCTGGACCTATGGCTGCATTGTTAGATTTTAGTGAGTGGGTGGGAACAAGAGGGGACCCCAGCAGGAAAATACTTGGGTTGGCAAGGCTATATATATATATATATATATATCTCCTCTTTTTTAGTTTAAAAACGACCTTTAGTTTGGATTCTTGTCTTCCTACCACACTAGTTTTTTATTTTTTAAATTTTTTTTGTTGGTCATGGGGCTTGAACTCTGGGCCTGGGCACTGGCCCTCAGCTCTTCAGCTCAAGGCTAGTTCTCTACCACTTGAGCCACAGCACCACTTCCAGTTTTCTGGTGGTTTATTGGAGATAAGAGTCTCACTGACTTTCCTGCCAGGGCTGGCTTTGAACTGTAATCCTCAGATCTCAGCCTCCTGAGTGGCTAGGATGACAGGTGTGAGCCACCAGTGCCTGGCCTTTTTATTATTTTCTTAAGTTTTTTTTATTTTTAGTTTTTAAAATTTTATTTGTTTATGTGGTCTGGAGGAATTGAACTCGGGGCTGAATGCATGCTAGGCAAACACTCCACCATTACACCACATTTCCAGTTACCTACCTACTCTTCTAAAAAGTCCAAACTGGCAGGCTGTGATTGGAGGAATTTTCCATCTTCCCACCTTGCGCACAGAGGCAGCTATCAAAGGTGTACAGGGGTC